CAAAGACAAAGCAAGTAAGGAAGCATAGATGTTAATCAGTAGAAATTCAGATACTACTTGGTACTTGTAGTCTAGTGGATAGAACTTCTTCGTTTGTTGCCAGTCCTCGCATGAGAGGGGAAAATCGGGAAAGACATCGGGAAAAACCACTCAGAGCCGACTTCGGCCTACGCCGCGGCGATCCAATACGCCCCTCCCTGATGGGATTCGCATGAAGATGCTCTACCAAAATCTGCTGTCAACTTACTGACATTTTATAGGGCATGCAGCCGGCAATGTCGAGGAGGGTGTTAAGGCTGCTGGCGGAGCAGGTGGAGACGTTGCAAGTAAATTTTTTTACTAGAATAAGCAGAGAATGCTTTTTCACTAGAAACAGAAACTTCTGTATTATTTTTAAGGCGGAGCTTTGGGTGCGGTGAAGAGCGGCGCTGGTGCCGTCAGAGACAAAGCAAGTAAGGAAGCATAGATGTTAATCAGTAGAAATTCAGATACTACTTGGTACTTGTAGTCTAGTGGATAGAACTTCTTCGTTTGTTGCCAGTCCTCGCATGAGAGGGGAAAATCGGGAAAGACATCGGGAAAAACCACTCAGAGCCGACTTCGGCCTACGCCGCGGCGATCCAATACGCCCCTCCCTGATGGGATTCGCATGAAGATGCTCTACCAAAATCTGCTGTCAACTTACTGACATTTTATAGGGCATGCAGCCGGCAATGTCAAGGAGGGTGCTAAGGCTGCTGGCGAAGCAGTTGGAGACGCTGCAAGTAAATTTTTTTACTAAAATAAGCAGGAATGCTCTTTCACTAGAAACAGAAATTCTATATTATTTTAAGGCGGAGGCTTTTGGTGCGGTGAAGAGCGGCGTCTGGATGCCGCAAAGGACAAAGCAAGTGGGGAAGCATAGATTTAAAGTATCATTCAGTAGAATTCAGATACTAGTTGGATATTTGTAGTCTCTAGTGAATAGAACTTCTTCGTTTATAGCCAGTCCTGCGATCCTGAGTTGAGTGGTTGAAGCAGTTTGTGAGAAGCTTTAGTTTCTTTACACAGCTTGCAGTATTTCGGAGCCAATTACCTATCTTTCTGAAATGTTGCACCCGCTAAGGCGATAGACAGCGATGCGGCATTTGGCCGCTGCATTTTCGAGCCACACGGCGCCGTAGTAGCCGTAGACATTATGTAGTGTTTGGCTCAGCTAGTGAGTTCTTAGAATAGCCCTACTTTTTTGCTGGCGCTCGGAAATGCTCCTCCGAGAATTCAGGGTTGTACACTAAGAGTTGCTCACATGAAAAAAAAACCATTTTTAGGTGATGCGGCGGAAGGCGCTCGATCAGGAGTTGTGTCTGCTGGAGAAAAAGTTGGCGAAGTTGCAGGTAAAGTAACAGCTGACTCTCCGCAACCTTTATTCATTTCCTGTTCTTCATTCAGGTGGCGCTGTTGGAGTCGTGAAAGGTGGTGTTGGTGGTATTGCTGATACAGCAGGTGAGCAGGCTTTGCTTTTGCAACAGTAAAACTGCTGGGAAGCTATTCTCAAAGATATTTCACTTTAGGAATATTCCACGTTTTCTCTCGCCCTCCTCCTTGTGCCTTACTCCAAATGTCTTTTTTCAACTGAAGATGAACTCGTAATTCGGGTAAATCAGATTCCCTATTTCAGTTGATGCGGCCAATGCTGCAGTGTCTGGAGTCGCATCAGCTGGCGAGGCCGTCGGAGATGTAGCCGGTGAGTTCAATCAGAATTGACCCAAAATGCGCCCAAATGTTTCTTCTATCTCTTTTGAGGAATGCCTTCACTTTCAGGAAAAGTAATAGTCCCATTTAGGTAGTATGGCCGATTCTGTAAAATCTGGAGTGGTGGCAGCTGGCGAGACTGTTGGGCATGCAGCAGGCAAGTTCAGCATCTTTAGCTTGACTCGTAGTTGAACAGATAGCAGAGCATCAACTTTCCTAGCGAGGAACTTAGTTTTGATGTCTTTCAACCCGGGCGGACGGGTGGGCGAACGGTGTTCGGCCCCATAGGCTATGTTTGGGAAGAAATGCCTCCCTGATCATGGACACTGAGTTCAAGAGCACATAAGAACTAGTAAATGAAATCCTATTCGTTATGGTAAATGGGAAGAGAAGGCGAGCTTTTCCTGAGCTTAGCATTCGAAACAAAGCGCAGTTCGCCTTGAGGGTTGTATGGGGGGTTTGCTATGTAGTTTATTAGTCATTACTAAGTCATTCTGTGAAGACCTGTGAACCATTGTGCACTTCTCTGCCGGTCAGGCACATACAGATGGTCCAACTATTTATTTATTTATTTATTCATCTATTTTCACCCTCAAGGTGTTGCTCAAGTACATTAGAATATCATAAATAGCTATGATA